GAGGACAGATGGAGGATTGGTGGGGGGAGTAAGGGGCTTATACCAGATGGAGAGTATTGGGGGGCAGAGGAGTGTACCAGGGGGGGAGAGTATGGGGGGAGGGGGGACACAGAGAGGCAGGAGAGTATAGGGGGGGATAATGGGGGGGCAGTATACTGGTTGGGGGGAGGAGTATTGTGGGGTGGGGGAGTTGTATACCTGGTGGGCAGGATGGGGGGGGGGGGGGGGGGTTTTGTGGTGGACGACACACCCAGCATGGGGGGAGGGGGGTCAAGAAGTATGTGGATACACCTGTGGCTCCCCCTGATCACCTGATGGCTCTGTACCCCATGGGGGGGGGGGGGTGACATGGACTTTGTAAATACTGCCTATACATAGAACATGGGAAAGCAAAAGCAGCCCATAGCGCCCTTTCAGGTCGGTGGGTGACACAATACATTAGTGGAAATAGGACCCCCCGCATATTCGGGTACAGGAGGGGGAGGGGGAGTATACCAGGGTAAGAGGATGCGGGGTGGTTGGGAGTGTGTGAGAGGAAGTTTATGATGGGGGGGTGGAGGGAGGAGTATTATTATTGGTGGGGGTTTACTTCTGGGGAGAGAGACTGGAGTATACTGGTGCCTGCTCAGGTGTAGGTGACTACCAGGGGGTACAAGAAAGTGTTGGGAGGGCTTGTACTTGGAGGGGTCTGTGTCCCTGGGGGGGGGGGCGGGGGAAGGTGAGTCACCCCCCCCCCCTCCTCCGGGTCACCATTTTTGGCAAATAAGGGAAGTGATGGGAAATCCACATTTGGAGCAGGAAATAGATGTTAACCCCTCCCTTTTTCTTCCTGACCAGTCCATCATTTTGCGATACGGCGCTGCGTTACTTTGACAATTGCGCGGTCATGCAACGCCGCACCCAAATGAAATTTACATTCTTTTTCCCTACAAATAGAGCTTTCTTTCGGTGGTATTTGATCACCTGTGCAGGGTTTATTTTTTTTGCGCTATAAAAAGACTGTTTTGGGGAAAAAAAAAACAATATATTTGGACTTTTTGCTTATATTAAACATGTCCAGTAAAATAAAAATCAAATTTCATCATAAATTTCGGCCAAAAATGTATTCTGCGCGGCTCGGTGTCTTTGCTGAAAAAGAAATCCAATACATGAAAGTTATAGCGTCTACAGATGGCGGGATGGATACTGGGATTTTTTTTTTTTATACTAGTAATGGCGTCAATCAGTGACTTCTAGCGGGACTGCGGCGGACATTCTTATTATGGGGGGGGGGGGGGGGGAACTAACTTGGTGTCACTGACATCCTTGATGACACCGGAATACAGTGATCAGTGCTTAAAAAAAAAAAAAAAAAGCACTATACTAAATGGCACGGGCAGGAAGGGGTTAACATCTGGGGCAATCAAAGGGTTTAACTGTGCTGTATTTACTAGGGAGGACATGCTGCTATGCAGAGCCATACAGAGCAGTGTGCAGGAGCTGACAGGGGGAGAGATCTGTGTTGTTTACATACAGTTCTCTCGCCCCGTCGGAAATGTCCTTAAAGATCACCCTGTGGCGGCTGGGACTCTGGTGATTGACAGGTGAGGCTGCGAACGGCGATGCGGGTGGGGCGCGATTCCCAGTGCGAACAGCGATGCAGGTGGGGTGCATGCACGGCCCTTACCCGGAACTGCCAAAATCACGTATATCTATTATCTGTTTTTAGTATTTCTGATATAGGGACGGAATAAAGGAGAACCTCTGTGCTTTTGGCCATGTGTCTTGTTATTCCCATATTTTGAGTGTAATATGAAGCATGGTCGGTGTCTGCCGACCCCCCCCCCCTCCCCACTCCAAAACTGCACCCCCCCTCCTTTTCTCCTTACAGGGGGTCGGAGTCGGTTTTATAACTCTGCCCACACAGCTGCGTCATTCAAATCTGCAGGAGAGTTGCTGTGTTCACTGATTGGGTAGAAAGACTCCTAGCGACGTCATCACGCTTGTAGTCCAATAACTTCCTGTATCTGAAGGTGCCGCCCACCCCACTGCCCTCCCATCTTTTCTTGTTCACACCCATCCCCGATTCGGCGTTTCACACGGCTGGCCATAAGGGTGATGAGGAGACCAGATTGTCTCTGATATAGGAGGCTGATTGCAACGTCATGACGTCACTTCCAGTGTAAAGGGATGTCAACTGTCTTCTTTGGGGGGGGGAATGCTATTATTATATATAGATTTTTTTTTTTTTATTTTGAGGAGGATCTGATTTTTTCAAAGGTAGAAGAGAGATGTGGGGTCTTATACACCCCTGATGGCTCCATAAAGAGGACCTGTCATGCTTTATTTCTATCACCACGGATGTTTTACATTTCTTTTGATAGGAATAAAAGTGATAAAAAAAGTGCAAAAATACAAAAAGTTATACAATTAAAATATAAAAAAAAAATGTATTAAAAAAAAAAAAGATTTTAAGCTCCCCCATGCTCATGCACAAAGGCGAACACGTGTAGGTTGCGCCCGCATATGTAAACGGAATTCGCACCACACATGAGTGGTATCGCCACGAACGTTCTAGTGGGAGCGATAAATCTAGAGCTAGACCTCCTCTCTAAACTGGTCAACTGGAAAAATGTTTAAAGCGTCACCTATGGAGATTTTTAAGTACCGTAGTTTGTCGCCATTCCACGAGCGTGCGCAGTTTTTAAAGCGTGACATGTTAGATCTCTATTTACTCGCCGTCGCATCATCTTTTATATTTTATCCCAAAAAATGGGTAATACAGGCGTACCTCGGTTTACGAATTTAATGCGTTCTCTGGGACATTTCGCATTGCGAAAAAAATTTGTAAACGGAAACGCGGTTTCCTATGGGAATGCATTGAAAACCAATTAATCCGTTCCGGAGGTCAAAAAAAAGTCGGTCACTATAGGTCAGTGCTGTTTTTTTAAATGTGATTACCGGCTTGCTTTTTTCCTTCTCTATAGCTCAGAGAATCAGCTGTCACTTCCCCCCCAGCTAAAAGAAAACAGTTAAAAGAAACAATGTTTCCATTTTTGTTTCTTAAAAGAAACGCGGTTTCCCATAGGAATGCGTTGAAAACCAATTAATCTGTTCCGGAGGTCAGAAAAAAGTAACAAAAAGTCGCTGTGACTATAGGTCAGTGCCGGTTTTGGGCTTTTTTTTTTTTTTCACTATAGCTCAGAGAATCAGCTGTTTCTTTCCCCCCAGATAAAAGAAACAAAGTTTCCTTTTAGTGAGTTAAAAGAAACAATGTTTCCTTTAGTTTTTCTTTCCGTAGATAAAAATAAACAAAGTATCCTTTAGCTCCTGGGAAAGGGACAGCTAATTCTGTGATCTATAGTGACGGAAAAAAAAAAAACTGAAAATGGCATTTAAAAATCGGCGCCGACGTTACACTTCGTATTGCGAAAAAAAAAAATTTGTAAACCAGGACGTTTTCAATGGATTTTCATTTGCGTTTACCGAGGCGTTCGTTAAACCGAGGTGCGCCTGTGTGATGTTTTCCTTCATTAAAATTTTATTTTGTGTAATTTTTCCCCCAAAAAAATTGCTTTTTAAAAACTGCGGCGCGAATACCGTGCGACACATAAAATGTAACGAGCGCCCATTTTATTGTTTGGGGGGGGTCAACAAGCTTTCTAGCTAAAGACCGGTTTATTATTATTACAGGATTTATATGGTGCCAACATTTTGCGCACCTCTGTACCAAATGAAGGCCGATAGTACAGTTCCAATACAATTTGGTACAAGAGGAAAACAGGGGCCCTGATCCTCAGAGCTTACAATCTAGGAGGAAGGGTTGAGTGATACAAAAGGTAATGGCTGTGGGGGGATGAGCTGGATGGAGGTAATAAATGGCAGTTTACTAGGTAGGAGGGAGGTTTCTTTAAAGAGGTTTTCAGGGCTAGTCTGAAGCTGGATAGATTGGGGTAGGGAGTTCCATAGGATGGGAGAAGCTCTGGAAAAGTCCTGGAGGTGAGCATGGGAGGTGGTGACACGGGAACTAGAGAGCAGAAGGTCTCGGGAGGATAGAAGAGAGCGGTTTGGTTGATATTTTGAGACCAGGTTGGTGATGTAGCCGGGGGCAGAGTTGTGGATGGCTTTTGTAAGTTGTTAGTATTTTGAACTTTATTCGTTGGGTGAGTGGAGGTCAGTGGAGGGATTGGCAGAGGAAGGTGGAGGACACTGAGCTGCGGGTCAGTGGAGGGATTGGCAGAGAGGGGTGGAGGACACTGAATGGAGACCAGTGGAGGGGATTGGCAGAGAGGGGGGTGGAGGACACTGAATGGAGGCCACTGGAGGGATTGGCAGAGAGGGGTGGAGGCCACATTTGAGGGATTGGCAGAGAGGGGTGGAGGCCACTTGAGGGATTGGCAGAGAGGGGTGGAGGCCACTTGAGGGATTGGCAGAGAGGGGTGGAGGCCAGTGGAGGGATTGGCAGAGAGGGGTGGAGGCCAGTGGAGGATTGGCAGAGAGGGGTGGAGGCCAGTGGAGGGATTGGCAGAGAGGGGTGGAGGCCAGTGGAGGGATTGGCAGAGAGGGGTGGAGGACAGTGGAGGGATTTACAGAGAGGGGTGGATGGACACTGAATGGAGGCCAGTGGAGGGATTGGCAGAGGGGTGGAGGACACTGAATGGAGGCCAGTGGAGGGATTGGCAGAGAGGGGTGGAGGGCACTGAATGGAGGCCAGTGGAGGGATTGGCAGAGAAGGGTGGAGGGCACTGAGTGGAGGCCAGTGGAGGGATTGGCAGAGAGGGGTGGAGGCCAGTGGAGGGATTGGCAGAGAGGGGTGGAGGTCAGTGAGGGATTGGCAGAGAGGGTTGGAGGACACTGAATGGAGGCCAGTGGAGGGATTGGCAGAGGGGTGGAGGACACTGAATGGAGGCCAGTGGAGGGTTTGGCAGAGAGGGGTGGAGGACACGGAATGGAGGCCAGTTGAGGGATTGGCAGAGAGGGGGTGGAGGCCGGTTGAGGACACTGAATGGAGGCCAGTGGTTGGATTGGCAGAGAGGGGTGGAGGCCAGTGGTTGGATTGGCAGAGAGGGGTGGAGGCCAGTGGTTGGATTGGCAGAGAGGGGTGGAGGCCAGTGGAGGGATTGGCAGAGGGGGGTGGAGGACACTGAGTGGAGGTCAGTGGAGGGATTGGAGAGAGGGATGGAGGCCAGTGGAGGGATGGAGGACACTGAATGGAGGTCAGTGGAGGGATTGGCAGAGAGGGGTGGAGGACACTGAGTGGAGGTCAGTGGAGGGATTGGCAGAGAGGAGTGGAGGACACCGAGTGGAGGTCAGTGGAGGGATTGGCAGAGAGGGGTGGAGGACACTGAATGGAGGCCAGTGGAGGGATTGGCAGAGAGGGGTGGAGGTCAGTGGAGGGATTGGCAGAGAGGGGTGGAGGACACCGAGTGGAGGTCAGTGGAGGGATTGGCAGAGAGGGGTGGAGGTCAGTGGAGGGATTGGCAGAGAGGGGTGGAGGACACCGAGTGGAGGTCAGTGGAGGGATTGGCAGAGAAGGGAGGAGGACACCGAGTGGAGGTATTGGCAGAGAGGGGTGGAGGACACTGAACGGTTGGTAAGGTGGATGAGTCTGGCCTCAGTATTCATGATGGACTGGAGGGGGTGTGGCCTATGTAAAGGTCATCCAATGAGGAGAGAGTTGCAGTAGTCGAGGTGAGAGATGACAAAGGAGGGGATTAGGAGCTTTGCGTTCTCATTGGTCAGAACGGGACGTATTCTGGAGATGTTGCGGAGGTTGAGGCGCCATGATTGGATGGGCCTGGAAGGATAGTTCAGAATCCGGGGTTCCCCCTCGCACCCCGGCATGCAGAGATGGGTTGATAGCGGTGCTATTGATCCTGTTGGCGAATTCAGGGTAGCGGCACGTGGGGGGAGGTAATATTATGAGGTCAGGTTTGGATAGATTGAGTTGTAGGAAGTGGAGGGACATCCGGTCTGATGTCTGTTAGTACATCGGTGATATGTGAGGAGACTGCTGGGGTGAGCTGAGGGGTAGGACGTGCCCCTTGTACACGGGTTCTCCGATAATCGCGGTATCCGGGCGCGCTCACACACGGAGGAAATCTGGTATCATGTGACCAGATGGTGCAGGTTCCAGCCTATACAGGGAGAGGGCGCCCTTTGGTGGAGGGAGGTGTGAGGACATCGGAACAGGAGCTATCGAGTTGCTCGCGCTTGGGGACTCGGTTTCTGGTCGCCGTGGCAACCGGCGCCCGGGATTTTTTCAAGCCCTGCAATGATGTACCCAGTGCGCCATTCTCAAGCTCCGTGTTTAACCGCTTCAGTACCAGCAGGTTTCTTTTGTCTCAGAAAAAACTTCACCTTGGGGTGTCTGCTTTCCAAAATAGGGTCACCTAGGGGGTGTGTTCGTACTATTCTACCGATTTTTTTTTTTTTTTTTTTTTTTTTTTTTTTTTCTTTTTTCTATGAAAACAGTTTTAAAAAAAAAAAGAGCTATTAAATATCACCAAAAGAAAACTCTGCTTGTCAGTCAAACGATCACTAAGATGATCTGGTAATGAAGGGGTGTCACAGGCTGGTACTCATGTAGTTACATCTTCTACTGGTGACACCTGTTTGGTTACAACTGTCTTCTTCCTGCCTGTTGTCTCAGGGACAGGAAGTGAAGGGAAATCTCCCAAATGGGGCACAAACAGCAAAAAAAAAGTATAAATGGTAAGATGTAAGATTCCCCACCTGATCCAAAACGGAAACAAGTTCTTGCGGACAGAAGTGTGCTTGTCATCACTGAACCCTGTTAGGATAACCCCTCCCCCTCCAGAGGATTGCCCCCCCCCTTTTTTTTGACCAGGCCATTTTTTGCGTTACAGCGCTGCGTTACTTTAACTGCGGTCAACACCCAAATGAAATATGTCTCTCTCCCCCCCCCCCTAAGACCCCCCCCCCCCCCCCCCCCCCCCCCCCCCCCCCCCCCCCCCCCCCCCACATATAGAGCTTTCTTTCGGTGGTATTTGATCGCCTCTGGTTTTTTTTTTTTTTTTTTTTTTGCGCTATAAACAAAATAAGACCAATTTTGAGAAAAAAACTATATTTTTGACTTCTTGCTATAAAACGTATCCAATAAAAAAAAAAAAAATGAAAAATCAAATTTCGTCATTAGGCCAAAATGTATTCTGCTCTGTGTCTTTGCTGAAAAAAAAAAACAATCCCAATACATGTAAATGAATGCGTTTACGTGAAAGTTATAGCGTTTACAAATGGCGGTACAGATACTGTGATTTTTCTTTTTTTTATACTAATAATGGCGGCGATCAGCGACTTACTGCAGCGAGCGGTCGGATACTGGGGGGGGGGGGACGACGACTGACTAACTGCCACTGACATCCCCCGTGACACCAATACAGTGATCAGTGCTAATAAAAAGCACTGACACTGGGCTGCCAGCGGTTAACTTTTGGCCAATCAAAGGGTTAACTGTGTGTTGTGTTTTACTAGGTCAGGAGTAGGCAACCTGAGAGCCGCAGGACTACCAGTTCCATCATGCCTCTGCAAGTCATAGCTGTAACTGTCAGTTTTGTCATCTTTGCAATGCCTCATGGGAAATGTAGTTCTACAACAGCTAGAGAGCCGCAGGTTGCCTACCCCTATACTAGGGAGACATGCTGTGCAGAGATACAAAGCAGCATGTCCTTGCTGGCAGGAGAGAGATCTGTGGTGTTTACACTCAGGTCTCTCACCTGTCAGCTTTGCGCGGCAATCACTGGGTGCCGGCTAGGACCCGGTGACTGACATTCCTAGCTGCCAGCGGCGGAGCGCGCCCCCTACAAATCGCGTATCTACAGGTGATTTTGCGCAGCCCTGCTGCCCTGTAGCAGTACTTCCACTATAGGGCGGCGGGCAACTGGTATTAACCACTTCCCGACCGGCCGTTGCATATAAACGGTGGACGGTGGCAGGGTTGGGTGGCCGTTTATGAACGGCCTCCCCGCACCCTGCTTGTGCGCGCTCCCTGGGAGCGCGCAGCACCGCGATCCGGTGCCCGCTGTGTCCTCCAGACACAGTGAAACACCGATCGTCGAACGGGACCTCTGTACGAGGTACCGATCATGTGATCACTGATTGGCCAATCAGTGATCACATGCAAAGTAGTAAGCAAGATGTCACTTGTGACATCATTGCTTACTATGTGTGAAATCTGTGAATGATCACAGAGGTCACATGGTACAGGGCTATTCACAACAGCCTTGTACCATGTGACAAGCTGTGACCAATCACAGCTCACTCAGTACTTCTCAATGACTGGTACGTAGCAAAAAAAATAAAACTCCCAGCGGTGAATAAATACCACCAAAATTGCAAAGATGACAAGACTGACAGTTACAGCTATGACTTGCAGAGGTATGATGGAACTTGTAGTCCTGCGGCTGTCAGGTTGCCTACCCTTGATCAAGAGGAGGCGGTGCCGTTCATCATCATCCGGAGGAGGCGGTGCCGTTCATCCGGAGGAGGCGGTGCCGTTCATCCGGAGGAGGCGGTGCCGTTCATCCGGAGGAGGCGGTGCCGTTCATCCGGAGGAGGCGGTGCCGTTCATCCGGAGGAGGCGGTGCCGTTCATCCGGAGGAGGCGGTGCCGTTCATCCGGAGGAGGCGGTGCCGTCTCTGGATGTCAGTAACCTGCAACAATGTGCTCATTTGGATGCATTTAGACCAGGGGTGGGCAACTGTGACCCTCCAGCTGTTGGTGAACTACAAGTCCCATCATGCCTCTGGGAGTCATGCTTGTAACTGTCAGTTTTGCAATGCCTCATGGGACTTGTAGTTCTACAACAGCTGGAGGGCCACAGTTGCCCACCCCTGTTTTAGACCCAAGTCTGGCTTAGGTGATCGTTGTGACAGCCAGGCAACTGGCATTTTCAGAAGGAATGTTGACACCGTAGCGTCCTATATGACCGGCCGGGCCGTGTGTAAATCTGCTGTGTTGTCTCGTTGCAGTATGTCCAGGCGGATTCCCCCACCAACAAAACGCTGGCCGCCCTGGTCTCTCAGCTGCTGCAGTTCCAGGAAGATGCGTTTGGACGGCACGTCACCAACCCGGCCTTCACCAAGCTGCCTGTGAGTATCCGGAGTGCCGACGCAGGCTCTGTCCTCCTTCCTACTCAATAGTTTGGGGGGGGGGGGATCTTCCTTCACCTGGATGTTGGCACGTCTGTCCCCAAAATAAAAACCAGCTAGGGGAGATTGATGCATTATTGATGAGCCCAGAGATGGCGGGCAATACAAACACTAGTCTAGTAGGGAGCGGCCACAATGTAACAAAATGGTACAAGTGATTACAATGTAACAAATGTACGAAATAGCCGCAGTGTAACAACGTAGTAGTCGCCTGATTGGTGCCCTAAGTACAAATACTTATCTAGGATGAGGAGCCGTAGGGTAACACAATGTAGCTGCAGGGTAACAAACTACACTGTATTGGCCCCGCCCTCCCTATCATGTGATTCAGGTGTTCCAATCCCCTCCCTATCATGTGATTCAGGTGTTCCAATCCCCTCCCTATCATGTGATTCAGGTGTTCCAATCCCCTCCCTATCATGTGATTCAGGTGTTCCAATCCCCTCCCAATCATGGGATTCAGGTGTTCCAATCCCCTCCATATCATGGGATTCAGGTGTTCCAATCCCCTCCATATCATGGGATTCAGGTGTTCCAATCCCCTCCATATCATGGGATTCAGGTGTTCCAATCCCCTCCCAATCATGGGATTCAGGTGTTCCAATCCCCTCCATATCATGGGATTCAGGTGTTCCAATCCCCTCCCAATCATGGGATTCAGGTGTTCCAATCCCCTCCATATCATGTGATTCAGGTGTTCTAATCCCCTCCATATCATGTGATTCAGGTGTTCCAATCCCCTCCATATCATGTGATTCAGGTGTTCCAATCCCCTCCATATCATGTGATTCAGGTGTTCCAATCCCCTCCATATCATGTGATTCAGGTGTTTCAATCCCCTCCATGGACACAGGTGTATACAATCAAGCCCCTAGGCATGCAGACTGCTTCTACAAACATTGGTGAAAGAATGGGTCGCTCTCAGGAGCTCAGTGACTCCAAGCGTGGTCCCGTGATAGGTGGCCACCTGGGCAATAAGTCCATCCGTGACATTTCCTGGCTACTAAATATTCCACGCTCAACTGTTAGTGGGATTATACCAAAGTGGAAGCAACTGGGAACAACAGCCACTCAGCCACCAAGTGGTAGGCCACGTCGCATGACAGGGCGGGGTCAGCGCATGCTGAATCGCACAGTGCGCAGAAGTCGCCAACTGTCTGCAGAGTCAATAGCTAAAGACCTCCAGACTTGGTGTGGCCTTCAGATGAGCCCAACAACAGTGCGTTAGAGAGCTTCATGGAATGGGTTTCCATGGCCGAGCAGCTGCATCCAAGCCTTCCATCACCAAGTGCAATGCAAAGCGTCGGATGCCGTGGTGTAAAGCATGCCGCCACTGGACTCTAGAGCAGAGGAGATGTGTTCTCTGGAGTGACCAATCACGCTTTCATGATGGACGTGTCTGGGTTTGGCGGTTGCTAGCAGATCAGTACTTGCCTGACTGCATTGTGCCAAGTGTAAAGTTTGGTGGAGGGGGGATTATGGTGTGGGGTTGTGTTTCAGGGGTTGGGCTTGGCCCCCTATTTCCAGTGAAGGGATCTCTTAAGGCAACATTTTGGACACTTTCATGCTCCCAAAATTGTGGGAAGAGTTTGGGGATGGCCCCTTCCTGTTCCAACATGACTGCGCACCAGTGCACAAAGCAAGGTCCATAAAGACATGGAGCCAGTTTGGGGTGGAGGAACTTGACTGTCCTGCACAGAGTCCTGACCTCAACCCCATAGAACACCATTGGGATGAATTAGAGCGGAGACTGCGAGCCAGGCCTCCTCCCCCGACATCAGTGCCTGACCTGACAAATGTTCTTCTGGAAGAATGGTCCAACCTTCCCATAGACACCCTCCTAAACCTTGTGGACGGCCTTCCCAGAAGAGTTGAAGCTGTTATAGCTGCAAAGGGCGGGGCCAACTCAATATTGAACCCTACGGACTAAGACTGGGAGGCCATTAAAGGTCATGTGCTTGGAAGCAGCGGGGCCAACTCAATATTGAACCCTACGGACTAAGACTGGGGGGCCATTAAAGGTCATGTGTGTGGAAAGGGCGGGGGGCCAACCCAATATTGAACCCTACATCAGTGTAGCACACAGTAAAAAGTAAAAAGAGAGTCCGGGGAGTCCACCAAAAATATAAAATATGGTGAGGTGCCATCAGATGTACCTGGTAGGATGTTGCCTAAAGCAGTACAAGAAAAAGCAAAAGAAAATGGTGTACACACCATTGCAGAGCAGAGATGTGGGGGTCTTATTGACCCCATATCTCTCCATAAAGAGGACCTGTCACTAATTATTTCTATCACAATATTTTTTTAAAATACATTTCAGATATACGTCTTTAAAAATACAAATCTACATTTTTGGAATGCATTTACAAATATGAAAAAAGTCATTTTAACATACATTTTTACGTATATTTGTAAATGCATTCCAAAAATGTAGATTTGTATTTTTAAAGACATATAGTATATCTGAAATGTATTTTTATAAATAGTTTTCATATCTTTTGTAATAAGGCACTTCAACATTGTGTGTGTGTAGCTGTACCAGATTCTGAGTGCTCCAGCTTTAGTAAATCTGCCCCACTGTGTGTTTTGTGTAATAAAGTTTTTTGTTTGTTTTTTTTTTATCAGATGAAGTGCTTCTTGGATTTTAAGCCGGGGTGGTGCCCTGTGCCACATCCTGGGGGCGGCGTACAAGCACCGGAGTGACCAAGGATGGTAGGAGCGAATTGTCTGTCTTGTGTATGAGGAGGTGTTCTTTACTGCTCAGGATTGAATGGTGATGATTTTTCTCTCCCTCCCCCGCAGGAGGAGATTTGATTTGCAGAATCCATCCCGGATGGACCGCAACGTGGAGATGTTTATGGCCATTGAGAAGACGCTGGTACAGGTGAGCCGGGACATCCTCTGTTAGTTTGAGGGGTGAGTTTGGATCTCGGTCCAAACCTACCTGGGCTATGCGGTTCTGGATTCCGGACCATCCAATAGTGAGCGGCCGATTCCTTCCCTGCACATACGAGGGATGTGTATCACACGCATTGATTGTACGTTCAGCCCGGGTTCATATATATGCGGTGCGGTATATCCCATGTGATTCGCACCGGAACCGCAACGCATTCCTGTACAGATCACATGCGAATTCTGTGCGGTGCGATTTGAGCCGTACATTTTGTATGGCTCAAATCGCACTGCAGCCGCACCAATAAGGTGCTAGAACCTTCTTCCTTCCTTCCTTTTCCTTCCTTCCTTTTCCTTCCTTCCTTTTCCTTCCTTCCTTCCCTTTTCCTTCCTTCCTTTTCCTTCCTTCCTTTTCCTTCCTTCCTTTTCCTTCCTTCCTTTTCCTTCCTTCCTTTTCCTTCCTTTCCTTCCTTTTCCTTCCTTCCTTCCTTTTCCTTCCTTCCTTCCTTTTTTCTTCCTTTTTCTTTCCTTCCTTTTTCTTTCCTTCCTTCCTTTTTTCTTTCCTTCCTTTTTCCTTCCTACCTTTTCCTTCCTTCCTTTTCCTTCCTTCCTTCCTTTTCCTTCCTTCCTTCCTTTTCCTTCCTTCCTTCCTTTTTCCTTCCTTCCTTCCTTTTCCTTCCTTCCTTCCTTTTTCCTTCCTTCCTTCCTTTTTCCTTCCTTCCTACCTTTTCCTTCCTTCCTTCCTTTTTTTCCTTCCTTCCTTCCTTCCTTTTTTTCCTTCCTTTTTTTCCTTCCTTTTTTTCCTTCCTTCCTTCCTTTTCCTTCCTTCCTTCCTTCCTTTTCCTTCCTTCCTTCCTTCCTTTTTTCCTTTTTTCCTTACCTCCTTTTTTCCTTACCTCCTTTTTTCCTTACTTCCTTTTTTCCTTACTTCCTTCCTTCCTTCCTTCCTTCCTTCCTTTTTTTCCTTCCTTCCTTTTTTTTCCTTCCTTCCTTTTTTTTTCCTTCCTTCCATCCTTTTTTTTCCTTCCTTCCTTTTTTTTTTTCCTTCCTTCCTTTTTTTTCCTTCCTTTTTTTCCTTCCTTTTTTTCCTTCCTTTTTTTCCTTCCTTTTTTCCTTTTTTTTCCTTTTTTTTCCTTCCTTTTTTCCTTTTTTCCTTCCTTCCTTTTTTCCTTCCTTCCTTTTTTCCTTCCTTCCTTTTTTCCTTCCTTCCTTTTTTCCTTCCTTCCTTCTTTCCTTTTTTCCTTTCCTTCCTTTTTTCCTTCCTTCCTTCTTTCCTTTTTTTCCTTCCTTCTTTCCTTTTTTCCTTCCTTTTTTCCTTTTTTCCTTCTTTCCTTTTTTCCTTCTTTCCTTCTTTCCTTCTTTCCTTCTTTCCTTTTTTCCTTTTTTCCTTTTTTCCTTTTTTTCCTTCTTTCCTTTTTTCCTTCTTTCCTTTTTTCCTTCTTTCCTTTTTTTTTCCTTTTTTCCTTTTTTCCTTCTTTCCTTTTTTCCTTTTTTCCTTCTTTCCTTTTTTCCTTTTTTCCTTCTTTCCTTTTTTTCCTTTTTTTCCTTCCTTCTTTTTTTCCTTTTTTCCTTTTTTTCCTTCCTTCTTTTTTTCCTTCCTTCTTTTTTTCCTTCCTTCCTTTTTTTTTCCTTCCTTCCTTTTTTTCCTTCCTTCCTTTTTTTCCTTCCTTCCTTTTTTTCCTTTTTTTTTTCCTTCCTTCTTTTTTTCCTTTTTTTCCTTCCTTCTTTTTTTCCTTCCTTTTTTCCTTTTTTTCCTTCCTTTTTTCCTTTTTTTCCTTCCTTTTTTTCCTTCCTTTTTTTCCTTTTTTTCCTTCCTTTTTTCCTTTTTTTTTTCCTTCCTTTTTTTCCTTTTTTTCCTTTCCTTTTTTTCCTTTTTTTTTCCTTCCTTTTTTTTTTCCTTTTTTTTTCCTTTTTTTTTTTTTCCTTTTTTTCCTTCCTTTTTTTTTCCTTTTTTTCCTTCCTTTTTTTTTCCTTTTTTTTTTCCTTCCTTTTTTTCCTTTTTTTTCCTTCCTTTTTTTCCTTTTTTTTTTCCTTCCTTTTTTTCCTTTTTTTCCCCCCTTTTCCCCCTTTTTTTTCCCCCCCTTTTTCTTCCTTTTTTTTTTCCTTCCTTTTTTTTTCTTCCTTTTTTTTCCTTCCTTTTTTTTTTCTTCCTTTTTTTTCCTTCCTTTTTTTTCCTTCCTTCCTTTTCTCCTTCCCTTTTTCCTTCCTTCCTAGAATCAGATATGTGTGTGTTTTTTTTTTTTTTTTTAATTTTATAGTAATGGCAGTGGTCAGCAACTGTTAGTGGGACTGCGGTAGACATTCTGACACTGGGGGGGGGGGACTGACTTGGAGTCACTGACATCCCCAGTGACATCAGTACAGTGATCAGTGGCTAATAAAAAGCACTGACACTGTACTAGTGGCACTGGGCAGGAAGGGGTTAATGTGGGGTGATCAAAGAGTTAACTGTGATTCACTGAAAGCACACTGCTTTGCATGGCTCTGCTATGCAGAGCCCTACAAAGCAGTGTTCAGAAACTGACGGGAGAGATCTGTATTGTTTACATATAGTTCTTTCCCTCAGTCCTTCCTTCCTTTTTTCCTTCCTTCCTTCTTTCCTTCTTTCCTTCTTTCCTTCTTTCCTTCTTTCCTTTTTTCCTTCTTTCCTTTTTTCCTTCCTTCCTTCCTTCCTTCCGGGAGAGATCTGTATTGTTTACATATAGTTCTTTCCCTCAGTCGGCAATACTCGGCAATCACCGGCCGGGACCCGGTGATCGACAGCCGAGGCCATGAATAGCGGTGGAGGTAGGGCGCGCACGGAAATTACGTGTATATATAGGTGATTTTGCGCACCCCTGCCGCCCTGTAAGCCGTATATCTGCTATAGGGGGCAGGAAAGCGGATAATAACAATCTGAGAATTACCCTTCATGCCTTTTCATCCTCCAGAACAATTGTTTGACCCGACCCACAGTCTACCTCGTCCCAGAAATCGAGTTGAAATTGGCTAATAAATTGAAAGACATCGTCAAACGTCATCAGGTGAGCCGTTCTCTGGGGATTGGGGCAGAGCGAATTGTAGGTAGTTCGTCATTTGCGGAGGGTGACTCTTTCTTTGTCTTTATTTAGGGTACAATTACAGAAGATAAGGCGAAGGCCTCTCACCACGTTCACCCCGTTCCTACCTCACTGGATGAAGGTAAGTCACCAGTGTCTTGTCCTGTTTCAAGTGCTCTATATTAACCAATCAGAATTGATGCTTCAAGAATTCGCTGTAATCTGACTCTTTTACTGCCGCCAAACTCACGGCTATGAGCACTTCAGGGTTCAGAGCCGCCGGATCTTCGCTGCTGCCGTAGATCAGAGCCACCGGATCGTCGCGGCTGCCGTAGGTCAGGGCCGCCGGATCGTCGCGGCTGCCGTAGGTCAGGGCCGCCGGATCGTCGCGGCTGCCGTAGGTCAGGGCCGCCGGATCGTCGCGGCTGCCGTAGGTCAGGGCCGCCGGATCGTCGCGGCTGCCGTAGGTCAGGGCCGCCGGATCGTCGCGGCTGCCGTAGGTCAGGGCCGCCGGATCGTCGCGGCTGCCGTAGGTCAGGGCCGCCGGATCGTCGCGGCTGCCGTAGGTCAGGGCCGCCGGATCGTCGCGGCTGCCGTAGGTCAGGGCCGCCGGATCGTCGCGGCTGCCGTAGGTCAGGTTTCTCCAAACTATGGCCCTCAGGTGTGGCTCATACTCCTGACCTCTTCATCTCATCCGAATGTTGCTCGTTCCAAAATGGCCTCCTGGTCTATGGTTTAATCGCTGTGCTCCATCTAGTGGCCGGGGACTGCCCCTAGAGTGGGTTCTGTCTGGCAGGAATCACTGTTCTCAGTGTTGGGTTTCCAGGCAGAGGCCGGCTCTTGCTGAAATTTTTTTTTTTTTTCTTTAGCAGATGAATGGCTGAGACCGGTGATGAAAAAAGAGAAGCAAGTTCTTGTGCACTGGGGCTATTACCCGGACAGGTGAGCGGAGCTGTATCATCGTGCAGGGACAGGCTGAATGGAAGAGGTGTCCTCAAGGGCCAGTTCACACTCCATGCGTTTTTTCAGTTGCTTTTTTTTCTGCATCTAAAACTCACTGTAGAATATATTATTGTCAATTTAATAGGGCTTGCAGTTCCAGTGCGTTTTGGTTGCAGAAAAAAAAAAAAAAGTAGAACAGGCTGCATTTTTTTTCTGCACAGAACTGCACTGGAATGCGATAAAAGTGGCCGGATGGAACATTGAAGTGACTGAACAGAGGAGCTTAGGGGTGACCTGCATGGAGGGGTGGGGGGCAGTGGCCAGACTGAAAATTGAAGTGACTGAGCAGAGGCACTTGGAGGTATGGAGAAGAGGAGGAGGGGGGGGTGGCAGTGGCCGGACTGAACATTGGAGCGGCTGAGCAGAGGAGCATGGGGCGAACCTCCATGGAGGTACGGGGGAGGGGGGATCCTTAACCAGCATCTATTTTTTAACTTTCTTTGCACTCCATAGCGTCTCCAAAGCCTACTTAGAAGTCTATGACAAAGCTCACTAACAGCACCTGCGGCTTTTGAGGGGCTTTTATGCAGCGCTAGCTTTGCTTTGGAGGTATTGCAGGTATAGATGTCCCAGGATGCACTGGGAAGCCAACAAGTGAACCTGAAAGACCCCATCAGCAGTCACTTCTACTTCATGTGCATATGTTCTGGGTGTGTCTGGTGCAAATGGAGGATCAGCGGAGCTGGGGGTTACTACTGCCGGGGTGGAGGATCAGCGGAGCTGGGGGTTACTACTACTACCGGGTGGAGGATCAGCGACGGGGCTGTGGGGAATTATGGGTAGGAGAGGGCGGCGCGGGACCTCGACGGGGCTGTGGGGAATTATGGGTAGGAGAGGGCGGCGCAGGACCTCGACGGGGCTGTGGGGAATTATGGGTAGGAGAGGGCGGCGCGGCACCTCGACGGGGCTGCGGGGAATTATGGGTAGGAGAGGGCGGCACGGGACCTCGACGGGGCTGTGGAGAAGCTACCTAGGGTGCTGTCATGTCTGGATGGGTGGTCAGGAAATTTGGAGTTGGCTCCGCTTTTTCAGAAGGGGAACTTTGCCTTGAGGGAAATGCACTTTGGGCGTTCTTTAGAATAGCTGCAAGTTTTTCATGTACCTTAGTGCTCATTATTTTTTCACCTCCATAAAGTTCGGCCGGGTGTCCCCATGGGGGTTTAGTGTTTTTGATGGCCAGAAGGATGAAGGTGGTCAACCCACCCCCACCATGGCAACTCATGCTGCTGATCATAGGGCACTTAGTCCGTGCCCACAGCACCCTGCTTTAGAAATCCCGAGTAGAAACACCCGTCCCCTGCCAGCATTCTGCGTTTGCTCTGTGTGGAAGCAGTGGGCTCTTTGCTTAGGCCGAACACAACCCCACCCCCGCGGAGTCTAAGCCAATGCTCCCCATACGGTAAAGCTCATGGTCCCTAGTTGTGCTGCGGAAATCTTAGATTTAATAATGGAAAGTTTCTTCCCATCAGCTTCCTAACGTTGTTTTTTCTTTGGTGGTGATTGGCTCCTGAATTGAGGTTTTTCTCCAGTATAATAATCGTTGAAGCGTTGTCTTGTGATGGAATTCGGTAACATTTTCTGTTTGCTCCCCCCCCCCCCCCCCCCCCCCCCGCAGCTATGACTCCTGGGTGCCTGTCTCGGATCTCGATGCCGAAGTAGAAGACGCTCCCATTCCGGAGAAGCCTTGGAAGGTGAGAAGAACCCAAGTTGCCCTTTAACCCCTCCCCCTTCCTGACCAGACCATTTTTTGCGTTACGGTGCTACGTTATTTTACCTGACAATTGAGCAATCATGCAACGCTGCACCCAAATGAAATTTGTCTTTTTATTTTCTTCTTACAAATAGAGCTTTACTTTTGGTGGTATTTGATTGCCTGTGCGTTTTTTTTAATTTTTTTTATAGCGCAAAAAAAAACATTTCCAGTGTGTATATATACACCGCGATTTGTAAACGCTATAACTTTCACGTAAACCAATTAATTTGCACGTATTGGGATTTTTTTTAGCATGACTTTTTTTATGATGACATTTTTTTTTTTTATTTTTTTTTTTTTACTGGATACGTTTCATAGCAAAAAGGTCAAAAATATTTTTTTTTTTCTCAAAATTGTCATTCATTTTTTTTTTTTTTATAGCGCAAAAACAAAGACTGATAATTTTGAGAAACAATATTTTTGACCTTTTTTGCTCTGCCCCCTCCTCCACCCAGTACCTCATTCACCGCCCAGGAGATTGCCAACCACTTCAAAAACAAGATCGACGCAATTCGAAGGGACATTGCCACTGCTCAGACTTCCACCCCACCTAGCATCCCTCACACGAAAACCCCCTCAACACCCCTCTCCCTTGACCTCGCCACTGTCCAGACCTCCACCCCGCCCAACATTCCTCACACTAAAACCCCCTCAACACTCCATCCCTTCAACCTTGCTACCACTGAAGAGGTCACTAAGGTCTTCTCTGAAGCCCGCCTCACCACCTGTCCCCACACAACTCCTACGATCTCCCTCCTCCATCCTACGCTCCATCACTCACATCTTTAATCTCTCTCTCTCTACAGGTGCCTTCCCCTCCCCTCTGAAGCACAAGCACATCACTCCCATACCTAAAAAAACCCTCCCTGGATCCCACCGACCCGAACAACCTCAAACCCATCTCCCTGATGCCATTTACATCCAAACTCCTTGAGCGCTTAGTCTATAATTGCCTAAGCTCCAACCTCCTTGACCCCTTACAGTCCGGCTTCCGTCCCCTACACTCCGCCAAAACCGCCTTACTCAATCTCACCAACGACCTGCTAACCGCCAAAACTAATGGCCACTATTCAGTGCTCCTACTCCTCGACCTCTCCACGGCTTTCGACATGGTCGACCACCCCCTCCTCCTCAAAAAACTACACTCCCTCGGCCTCAGAGATTCTGCTCTCTTCCTATCTATCACAGCGCTCCTTCAGTGTTACCTATAACGCTGCCACCTCCCCCTCTCTGTTTGGGTCCCTCAAGGTTCTGTCCTCGGGCCCCTTCTCTTCTCCATCTACACCTCCTCCCTTGGCCAACTGATACACTCCCACGGCTTCAACTACCATCTCTATGCCGACGACACGCAAATCTATCTCTCTACCCCTCGTCTCACCCCCTCGGTCTCCGCCCGAATCACACACCTACTGAACGACATATCAGATTGGATGTCGCTCCACTTCCTCAAATTAAACCTTTCCAAAACCAAGCTCCTAGTTTTCCCCTCAGTCCGCGCCCCCCCCCCCCCCCCCCCGACTTCTCCATCACGACCAACAACGCCACCATCAGTCCCACCCCGCAAGTCAGAGTACTGGGTGACAAATTCATGCAGACTCCACCTCTGCAACATCTCCAAGATACACCCGTTCCTAACCCTGGAAACTACTAAGCAGCTCATCCACTCCCTCATCATATCACGACTTGACTACTGTAACTCCCTCCTCACCAGCCTGCCTTGCTACAGGCTATCCCCGCTTCAGTCGATCCTGAATACTGCGGCCAGACTCATCCACCTTACCAACCGCTCCGTATCCGCCACCCCCCTCTGCCAATCCCTCCACTGGCTTCAAATTGGCCAACGGATAAAATTCAGAATGCTAACATTGACCTATAAAGCTGTTCATAATACTGCCCTAAACTACAACACTGACCTGATATCCAAATACCACCCAAAACGCACACTCCGCTCCTCACAAGACCTCCTACTCTCTAGTTCCCTGGTCTGC